ACAAAGGGAAGATTGACAAATGGTCGAAGAGAGAAAGCAAAGGAAAAAAGAAATGAAAGAAAAGAGTACGTCGAAGAAGACGGTTCCTGGCCTACGATATTAAAAGGTTAATCGAATTATTCCCACCGTTCTCCCATAATGTTTTATTCATTGACGATAAATCGGGTCGTAGGTCGGGGCCCCCGTTTAATTCTCTTCGTGCTAGTAAATTACGGCGAGCCTCGCTTACGTAGCGTATACTACTCCTTCTTCTTCTCTTTCTTCTGCGTCACTTGTTGCCCACCTCGAAATGCTGAGTCGATACACTGGTATTCTACCCGTTCATACCTTCATAATGGGCTAACTCTGACGCAACATCGATGAAAATATCTGCGCTAGTTCCGATAAATTGCTGTACTGCTGTCAAGTACACACTGTTCAGCTTGGTTATCGAGGGTGTTCGGAATACTTGCATCGGATCTTGCCACTTGATTGAGTAGTATAGAGAATCGTTGGCTCACCTGAACTCTCATGTCTGAGGAATTTCAAGGAAAGAATGGTCGTTGGAAGATTTCAACCAAAGATGCTGTTTCTTTGGAATTTCTTCAGGTTTCAGAACTTTATTGCTTAATTGTAACTCTCTTATGATCAAATTTATTGGATATTTTTCACCTAAACGATCATATTCGAAGAATTTTAAGGATAGGAAGGTCACTGAAAGATTTGGACCAAAAATGCTTTTCTTCGGAATTTCTTCAAGTTTAGAACAAGTGTTCCGAGAACTTGATTGCTTAATTGAAACACTTATACTCAAATTCATCGTACATTTCTCACCTGAACTATTGTATTCAAAGAATTTCAAGAAAAAGATGAAAGATTCGAACCAAAGATGCTGTTTCCTCGAAATTCCTTCAAGTTCATAAACAAAATAGCCAAGAGGCAAAAACATTTCTATCACTGATCAACTGAAACATAGTACAAGTAAAAATTCTGTAGATGACAGATTAAGGGTTAACTGCTCGAACATTTTTTCAACATACTTGTAATCATTTTTCCTACTTCGCTCCGTATCTTAATGGTTTTGTCACTTGAGATAGCTGAATAAAATAAATGAAACGTAGTTTTGTGTATAAATTTCCATGATATTTTCGGTCGCAACGTCTTCTTCTTCCTTTCTTCCCCCGTCCATTTCTTTGTAAACGCCAATTGTTTGTTAACCGCGTTAGCGTCACCCCGCAAAAGGAATCTGCGGTGTACCTGTGTTCCCTCTTTACGTCTCGGTTTCTTTGAACGCGGCAAAATTACTCTGCGTCACCGCTCATTCTCAGGGTCTCGTTCACTAATAATAACTAAAAATCAATAAACGTACGCGGTTAAAACTAGGATAGAATGGACAGAAATAGCCGATGTGGTTCAGCTTGATTTATTGTCGCAGATGTATGTAATTAGTATTATAGGTGACGCGAATGAACGGTGCGAGATCACTTTCAACAATTTTTACTTACCCTTGATTGGCGATGAAAGGAGTGGATACGGTGATTAATTATGGGAATTGAAATGGGTGATACCGTTGGTGTTGATTTGTGCAAAGGAACGTTTAGAGGGTTATAATTACATTTTACGATCACGCGCTTAAGTTAATCTCGAGTACTAATTGCGGTATTATTAAAAATACATTCGTCGACGTCAGTCTTCTAATGTCAAAAGCCTCGAATTAACCCGTTCGTGATTGGTGATATGGGAACATGTTGGTACTCGTTGAAATTCATTCAGAGAAATGTCAGTTCGATGTTAAGTCATTGTGGGACGGTGTCAGTGTTGGTTCGAATTAACTTGGAAAAGTTGAAGTTTGTTGTGGGTGTATTTATTTCAGTGTACGTCAGGTTGAATGTGAATCAGATTGAAATTAACTTGGGAAAATATAAATTTAACATTGAGATACTTGTTTCAGTGTAAATTAGGTTGAAATTAACTTAGGAAAATGTAAGCTTGACGTTAATATATTTATTTCAGTGTAAATTAGATTGCAATTAACTTAGAAAAATATAAATTTGACATTGAGATACTTATTTCAGTGTAAATTAGGTTGAAATTGACTTGGAAAAGTATAAGATTGACACTGACATATTTATTTTACTCCGAATATCTCGCTAAACTCTTTTTTAACCCTCCTCAATTTTAGCCCCAAATAAATAAACAAATAAGTAGCCAAAATCAAGGAAAAAGTAAAAAATTTAAGTTCGAAATGGCTGAAAACGTTTTAATTAACGCGTAACTGTCGAGTTTTCGGAAGAACGCAACGGATATATAATACATAACTGTTTGCACAAGCCTGAAGCATTCAAGCTATCCGTGAACTCGTCTACTTCAAACGAACACGCATCCAATTACTCGTAACACGTAAACGATTCGATTATCTGAACGATACCGCAGCTGGATGACGCACAAAGTGGAAGAACCAGCGTCATCCTTGTTCTCGAGTTGACCGTACTATGATAGCATGCTAAATACCTAAAACAGCTGCGACTGGTTTACTCGCCTAACCGTGCGACCAACAGACTAGCCCACTCATGTGTCACTTGATAATTTTACATTCCATCTTGATCTCCGGCATCTAAACTGCTGATTCAACTGTACGAATCAATTTCTGATCGTCGACGTACAATATCGAGAGAACCAGTCATAAATCGGTACATTCCGAGAATCGGAATATCAACTATGCATACGTACATCAATAAACTAGTGGCATAAACGCGTTCGCTGAAGGAAATTAGTCATAGAACAGGTTTTCATGGAAAATCGTGCAGGATATTTGATAAACGATCTCGTTCATAAGTCGTGGGATACTTACTTCGAGATTTGGAATTATTTTCTGAACGTTATTGTGCAATTGTGACATTCTTTTTTTTTGAAATTTTTGGGAAATGGTTCAGTGACTAAATTTTGGAATTACTTTTTAAATATTGTTGTCCAGTTGTCATATTTTCCTAAATTTTTCGGAAGCAGTTTCCGAAGAATTATTTCCCAAATAGGTTACAGTTTAATTGTCAGATTTTCCAAAATTTTTGGGAAATATTTTAGCAGTTAAATTTTGTAATTATTTTCCAAATAAATTACTGTCCAATTGTTACATTTTCCTAAATTTTTGGGAAGTACTTCCCAAAGAATTATTTTCTAAATAAATTATTGTCATATTTTCCAAAATTTTGGCAAATTTGGGAATTATTTTCCAAACAAATACCGTCCAATTATCATACTTTTTCAAATTTTTTAGAATTATTCCAGTAATAGAAGTTTGGAATTATTTTCCAAATAAATTACTATCCAACTGTCTCCCCCAAGTATCCTACCACTCAAAAATTTTCAAAAATAATTTCTAAATGATTTCTAAATTAATTTCGAACTCCCATCTCTTTTCCCGTTTCCAAACAAAAAAAAAAAGAAACAAAATTCCACAATAAAAAACACGCACACACATTTCCTCATCGTAACGTAAAAAAGAAAATGGATCCTGACCACTTTTCCCCTTGACTCTTCAATTTCGAAATGCTCCTAGTAATTAGATCGCCCAGTGCACTACTTACACTCTACATATAGAAAATTCGATCAAAAATAAGTGCGAGCAACGGTGGAATGAGGATGAGTAGAAGCGGTAAAAGATGATCAGAAACGGCGTAGTTCATTCGCCCACGAGTTGAAAAGTCAAAGCGCCCGAGTGATGATGCCGCCGCCCATGGCTAAGAATAGCACGTGGCGATCATTGCTTCTCGTCACCTTCGTCGTCGTCGTCGTCGTCGTCGTGGTTGTTCGCAACGACTAGTCGCACGTCGTTGTAAACAAACGCGCTATAACACCTTAGCATATATTCACGTTCCCTTCTGTCGACGAGTGTCGTGCCTCACCTGTGCGAACTTGCCAGGGAGGAAGTGCGTTCTGTCTTTCACCGCGGAGAGTCGCGTTTCTTCGTCCACGTTTAAATTTACCATTCGTCGTTCAGCACGGATCAACTGTGCGGCACATTGTTGCTATTTATACGTATACAGATGAAGAAAATGCACGGATTAACGTTATATGTGAAATTTTTTTTTAATTGAAAATCCTTTGGAATTAAAATCGCCAACTTTAAAATACTATACTTATTTTTAGTGGAAAGCAGAATTATTGTAAATTAAAATGGGCTTCTTTTCAAATATTATTTTTTTTTAGTGAAAAGTAGAATTATTCTAAATTAAAATGGTCCCCTTTTGAAATACTATCCTTTCCTATTGAAAAATAAAATTATTCTAAATTAAAATGGTCCCCTTCAACACACCACTCTTTTCTATCAAAATTATTTTAAATTTCAATAATATATTAGCCGCGAAAAAGAGATGCTTATCACTGCTCCAGATCGATTTGATAATAGGTAGCTCAAAATCTGTGATAAAATCGCGATGTTGTTTATCCTTTAACACCCTCGCTGCCACCGACGCACCATATGCGGTCGACGATGTATCATCCAGCGTATTGTCAATTTTCTAGTGGCCGCGAACGTGTAAATAAAAAATGTCATATTTTTCGCCATAGCGATTCCACTAAAACAAAAATCGTCTCTCTCTCTCTCTCGATCAATTACCCGAACGATCAATTTGCCAACGATTAGAAATCCATGTCGCATTACACGATCGAATAGCTTCGATTCAGAGCTGAGAGTTTCTTCGAATCGGCTTGATTGTATATTTTGCTATGGAATACCTGTAAGGTCGTGTATCTCGAGGCGGGTCTCGGCTAAAGCTGATCTTTGGAACCTGACAACGTGGGCGCCAAAGAGTCTGCAACGCCTTTGGTTATATACGTACACGCTTCTGTTGTTTCTTTCTGTTAGCGACTAATTTGGGATGTGATAGGCTGTTAATAGTATTGCCTGGTAGATCGATACTTTGTTCTAAACGTTAGTGTAAGTGTGTGTGTGTGTGTGTTTTTTTCTACTCTTTCTTTATCAGATGATAGAGTGATTTGTTTCTTTTTTTTTCTGTTCGCAGGAGAAGAAAGTCACGATGCTAAGAGTTGGATCTACAGTGGGCCTGTTGGTCCTATTGACCATCGCGAAGATCGTGGCCTCGAATCGTTGTTTAACGATGCTCGAAGGTAAATTAGTTTTCGATCATCATGTTTGGCTTGAAATGATTTTTTTTGGGGGATTTATTAGGAGTTAATTAGAGAATTCATTCTTTGAATCTATTAGGGATTGAGTAGAGAATTAATTCTTTGGATCTATCAGGAATTAATCTTGGATCTGTCAGGATTTGAAGGAGATTCTTTCCTTGGATCTATCAGGATCTAAAGGAGATTCTTTCCTTGGATCTATCAGGATCTAAAGGAGATTCTTTCTTTGGATCTAGAGAAGATTCTTTCCTTGGATCTATCGAGAATTAATTTTGGATCTATCAGGATCTAGAGGAGATTCTTTCCTTGGATCTATCGAGAATTAATTTTGGATCTGTCAAGATCTAAATAAGATTCTTTCCTTCGATCTCTCAGAAATTTATCAGAGAATTAATAATTTGATAGAGGCAAATCCAAAGAGGGGGGTGGTTCACCGGGATGGACAATCGTGGAACATCAATCTCGAGATCTCTCGTAGAGTAAGTCAGAGGCTGGCAACCATAGTCATGAAGATTTTCTTAACCGAGGTGCTAGGATATTCCGGAGTGTCTACCGTTGAAGTCAAAGACGAGTTTAGAACAAATGAAACATTCATGAGGTTGTCGGAAGACGTGTTGTACAATGGGTAAGTGATGCAAGATTTTAAAATTAAAATCGACATTTATTATTATAATTGTTAGAAACGGTACAAGGTCCCGTTAGCGTACAAAGGAGGCACAATGTTTGTACACTCTCGTCGCATTCGTGTATTCGTAAAAGTTTCTCTCCAGAATTTCTAAAGTATCATCTAGAGTTTACAAAGAAATCCAACGAATCGCAATACGAATTTACTATTATGCTTTATTAAGAAGATTTACAAAATTAGGGAACCAAAAATACAAATTACACCGATTACTCTGTCCTGAATAATTTAGGCGCAGGGCGTAAAAATGAATTTTCTCTGAAACTTTACGAATTTATTATTACAATTGAAACTACAATAAAATATATTCAACAATACTTTACTAGGAATAATAAAATACGTCAATCAACCAATTAATCGCAACGAAATCGCAAATTTCAACAAAGACAAAACATTTTATAAAATATTAATTTCACTATTTTCTATATTAACATTAACATTTTAACATTATTTAAATATTCTGAATATATCGTTCAAAAAAAGTCAACAAAAATCACCTCAAAACGAACACCAAAATTACTCGAACAACGTCTCTAATTAAATCACTCGAGAAATTC